GCTTTTATCATCGATTTAACTTCAAACTTGTTATCCGCGTCGCTTCGTAATGATGAGTTTCGTGTTACAAACTCATCCTCATTAGCCTCCATTTAGTGTACAATTGCTTCAAGATACAACAAACTGGAAGGATAAAGAATAACAGGGCTTGGCTTGTGATTGAATGGCGTTTTTGTGGTAAAAACTATAACACGGGCGTAGAGTGCTTTTTTCGGGCCCCTCACAGCCCAATTTACATACATTTACTGTATTTTACCTCTATGTCTCTGCGCCCGGGATGTAGTCCTCATCCGTATGTATCTTATCCCTCGCTTTGAAACCCATCTAGTTTCCATTTTCTCAATTCCTAACACTTGTAGTTTGGAAAAATAATAAAAAGGACATTCTGTGTGAATGTGAAAAACTCAAGGGACAGACTAATCAAGTTCTAGACTCGATTTCAGTCAGATACAACAAGCTGAAATATTCTTCTCTCTGCGCGGGACGTTTGAGCTTGTTTGAGGGGATAGAACTAATTCAGCCCGTACTAAACTAGGTACGGACGACTCGTGCCGTGTTCTTAAAGGTGTATGGACAATATCCTGGTATAATGAGGACCGTGAAATCGATCATATGAGTAGCACCGCAAAGAAGCTGAGAACTAAATATTCTGAAACTAGGATCCCTTTATTTGAACTAGAAGTATCCTATACCTGATTTAGGAGTATCCCTCATCTGAACGAGGAATATACCTCATCTGAACCGTGGTACGCTTAAGGTAATTTGCAGTTTATCCTGAGATCATGTGTCGTACTTTATTTTCATAGCGATCGAAATAACGGGTACGCATTTTCCGTTGTGACTTTAGTTGCGTCACTGCCGTAAAAGCCAGATTCCATGCGTGCCATTATAGAAGTGGATGAGGAGGAATAGCGATGGGCTTATGTGTCATAATTATAATTATGAGATCATGATAAAAAATTTTTACAGAAATGAGCTGATTGTCGCTTCGCTAATCTCGAAAAAATCCCCATCAAGAAAAAAAAAAAGCTTAATTTATACCGACGGCGAATAGTTAATATTTTAACTGAAAATATATATTTACTATCGGGATCTTCGACTGTATTCATGGCTATTGATTTAACGTTCCATTCTCTACTAATGTCTAACTCAGTGAAAGCATTCAATCAAGAATGAGCACCAAACAAACTCAATTTATAGTCTTTCTGTGGTTAAAAACCTATTTTACAAAATGCGGATATATTTTTAACCCTTTATCATCGATTTAACTTCAGACATGAATGTCTATTCTTGAGATAAAATGTCTTCAAATTTCTCTTAAACTTGTTGTTCGTCGCTTCGTCCATGATGAGTTTGGTGGTTAGAAATCCATCCTTACTAGCCTTGGGTCCGTGTACGATTGCTTCGTGATGCAACAAACTGGAAGGATAAAGAATAACAGGCCTTGGCTTGTGATTGAATGGCTGTTTTGTGGTAAAAACAATAACACGGGCGTAGAGTGCTTTTCACGGGCCCCTCATAGCCCAATTTACATACATTTACTGTATTTTACCTCTATGTCTCTCCGCCCGCGATGTAGTCCTCATCCGTATGTATCTTAGCCTTCGCTTTGAAACCCATCTAGTTTCCATTTTCTCAATTCCTAACACTCGTAGTTTGAAAATATAATAAAAAAGACATGCTATGTGAATGTGAAAAAATCAAGGGACAGACTCATCCAGTCCTGGACTCGATTTCAGTCAGATACAACAAGCTGAAATATCTTTTTCTTCGCGCTCGACTTTTGAGATTGTTTGAGCGGATAGAACTAATTAAGCCCGTACTAAACTATGTACTGACGAGTCGTGCCGTGTTCTTAAAAGTGTATGGACAATATCCTGGTGTAATGAGAACCGCGAAATTCGATCATAGCACAGCATAGAAGAGAAGAGAACCATATATTCCGATATAGAACTAGGTCCCTTACTTGAACTAGAAGTATTCTTTACCTGATTTAGGAGTGTCCCTCATCTGAACGAGGAATATACCTCATCTGAACCGTACGCTTAGGGTAATTTGTCGTATATTATTTTCATAGCAAACTAAATAACGCGCACGCGTTTTCCGTCGTGACTTTAGCCTGCGTCACTGTCGTAAAAGCGTCATGCGTCCCACTATACAAGTGGATGAGGAGGAATAGCGATGGGCTTATGTATCATAAACATAATCATAAAATCATAATATTTTTTTTCAGAAATAAGCTGACTGTTGCTTCGTTAATCTCGATAAAATTCCCACACAAAAAACAGATAATTTAATCTATACGGCGAATAATTAATATTTTAACTTATAATATATATTTACTATCGGGATCTTCAACTGTATGTATGGCTATTGATATAATATTCCATTCTCTACTTATGTTTAACTTCAATCAAGAATGAGCATCAAACGAACTCAATTGGAATTTATATCTTTTTGTGGTTAAACACCTATTTTACAAAATGCAGATATATTTTTAACCTTTTATCTTCGATTTAACTTCAGACATGAATGTCTATAATTGAGATAAAATGTCCCCAAATCTGTCTTAAACTTGTTGTTCGTCACTTCGTCCCTTTATAAGTTTGGTGGTTAGAAATCCATCCTCATTAGCCTCGGGTTTGTCTACGAATGCCTCGTGATACACGAAATTAGAAGGATAAAGAATAGCAGGGCTTAGCTTGCAATTGAATTGTGTGTTTTGAAAAAAAGCTATAACACGGGCGTAGAGTGCTTTTCACGGGCCCCTCACAGCCCAATTTACATACATTTACTGTATTTTACCTCTATGTCTCTCCGCCCGTGATATAGTCCTCATCCGTATCCTGAATCTTTCACTATGAAAAACTACTTAAAGGCACTTTTTTTAATTCCCAAAACTCAAAGCATGTGAAAAGATCATCGTTGAAGGCGTCAATCAAGAATGAGCATTAAACAAACTCAATTTAATTTATTTTGTTGTTATACAACTATTTTACAAAATGCCAATACATGTATCGCCAAAGGCGAACAAGCGGAGGCTTTTGGGTTGATACTTTTGATGCTATTGAATCAATTTCCTTTACGACCAAAACAAAATAGATAACACAATTGATACCTATATTTCATTTGTTCTTTTTAGAATTTGGAAAATCAGAGGCTGGATTGATTCTTTGGATCAGACTTTTCTTGGGCGAAGTGTGGGATTGTGAAAAATAATTTAAGAAAAAATAGTTTTTCATCTCTAAAACGTAACCAGGTAGGGAGTCTAACCTTGACATCAAAATAACTTAAACAGGTTAATTAAATAATCAATTTTAAAATATAATTTAATTTACCAGTGATAATTATCAGTGGTCATTTGAAAAAAGGGTAATATTAAATATGGTCAAGGATACTCTTAAATACGATCATATGAAAAAAGGATACTCTTAAATATGATCAAGGATACGCTTCAATATGGTCATTTGAAGAAGGCGTTCAATCAAGAATGAGCACCAAACAAACTCAATTTAGTCTTTCTGTGGTTACAACCTATTTTACAAAATGTGGATATAGTTTTAAGCTTTTATCATCGATTTAACTTCTGACATGAATGTCTATTGTCGAGGGAAAATGTCTGCCAACTTTATCTTAAACTTGTTGTTCGTCGCTTCGTAATGATGAGTTTGGTGGTTAGAAACCCATCCTCATTAGCCTCGATTTAGTGTACGATTGCTTTGTGATACAACAAACTGAAGGATAAGTAATAACAGCGCTTGGCTTGTGATTAAATGGTGTCTTTTAAAAAAAAGCTATAACTCGGGCGTAGAGTGCTTTTCACGGGCCACTCACAGCCCAATTTACATACATTTACTGTATTTTACCTCTGTGTCTCTCCGCCCGTGATGTAGTCCTCATCCGTATCCTGAATCTCTCACTTGAAAAACTATTTAAAGGCACATTTCAAATTCCCAAAACTCAAAGAATATCAAAAGATTATACAGAGTACATTCTATGTGACAGTGAAAAAGTTAAGGAATAGACTAATCAAGTCTTTATAGTAGTAGTTATAAACTTTTAACTTATAACTCTCATATTCACCACCAAATAATACATTACATAAACAGAAAGCGAACCTCTGAAGCGTGTAAAAGAGTGCGGAGTAGCTAGTTTTACAAAGATCACAACACTCAAATGGACACCAAAGTAAGCCTATTAGAAATTGCCTTATTACATTATATTTCACAGGATTTCATTGACAGGAGAGGGCATCTTTGTAGTGAAGCTCGAAGCTTGTGAAGGACTACGAGATACCTAAGCTTGCGAAAATAACCTGAATGATCAAATGGACTTATGATTTTCGAAGGAAAATTAAATGTCTATAATCAAGATAAAAAGTTTCCAACTTAGTCTTAAACTTGTTGCTCATCGCTTCGTCCATGATGAATTTGTCG